ATTCTTCTGCATTTGGAAAACCAGTTTTCCCAACATCATTTATTAAAGTCGGTCCTTTCCCTATTGTGTGTTCCTGGCACCTTTGTTGAAGATCAATTGACCATAAACGTGTGTACTTATTCCTGGGCTCTCTATTCTGTTCCATTGGCTTACATGTCTGTTTTTATGCCGGTACCAACCTGCTTTGATTCCTATAGCTTTGTAGTATATTTTGAAATCAGGTAGTATGATGCATTCAACTTTGTTTTTTTGCTTAAGATTGCTGTGGCTATTTGCAGTCTTTGGTAGTTCCATATGAATTTTAGGATTGTTTTTTCTATTTCTGTGAAAAATGCCATTGGAACTCGATAGGGATTGCATTGAATCTGTAGATCCCTTTGGGTAGCATGGACATTTTAACAACATAATTCTTCCAAGCCATGTACATGGAATATCTTTCCATTTATTTGTGTCTTCTTCAATTTCTTTCATCAATGTTTTATAGTTTTTAGCATACAGATCTTTCACTTCCTTGGTTAAATTTATTCCTAAGTCTTTTTTTGATGTTATTGTAAATGGGATTGTTTGCTTAATTTCTTTTTCAGATAGTTTGTCATTAGAGTATAGAAATGCAACTGATTTTTGTATGTTGATTTTGTATCCTGCAACTTTAATTAATTTGTTTGTTAGTTCTAACAGTATTCTGATGGAATATTTACGTTTTTTGTGTGTGTGTGTGAGGAAGATCAGCCCTGAGCTAACATCCATGCCAATCCTCCTCTTTTTGCTGAGGAAGACCGGCCCTGAGCTAACATTTATTGCCAATCCTCCTCCTTTTTTTTTTTCCTTTTTCTCCCCAAAACCCCAGTACATAGTTGTATGTCATAGTTGAACATCCTTCTAGTTGCTGCCTGTGGGACGCGGCCTCAGCATGACCAGAGAAGCGCTGAGTCAGTGCGCGCCCGGGATCCGAAGCCAGGCTGCCAGCAGCGGAGCGCACGCACTTAACCGCTAAGCCACGGGGCCAGCCCTAGGGTTTTCTACATATAAGATCACGTCATCTGCAGATGGAGACCATTTTACCTCTTCCTTCTCAATTTAGATGCCTTTTATTTATTTTTCTTGACTAATTACTCTGGCTAGGACCTCCAGTACTATATTGAATAGAAGTAGCAAGAGTTGGCATCCTTGTCCTGTTCCTGATCTTAGAGGAAAAGCTTTCAGCTTTTTACAGTTAAGCATGATGTTAGCTGTGGGCTTACCACATACAGCCTTTATTATATTGCATTCCATTCCTTCTATACATAATTTGTTGAAAGTTTTTATCCAAAAGCTCTGTTCTAAACTTGGCTCTCAAATCTGTTTTATTTGCCTCATCACTCTCTGCTTGTCTCTTAATAGAATGGCTTCTACCTTGAGGCTATCAGGCTAAAAGGCACCACATCCTTAACCTGTTCTTTGCCCCAAGCCTGGATCTTCATGGAACTTAGCTGCTCAAAGTATTTCTCAATTGTGTCTTCTACTCTTTGTGGCATAGAATCCTTTTCCAAGTCTTCAAGATTTCATATTTATAGACTCTTTTTATACCCTTTCATTTCTGCCGGCAAACTGGCAAATTCTCATCTCTAGTAACTTATATACTAACAACATGTAAGTTCTTTTAAATCACTTTTCCTAGAGCTGCTGGCATAGTAGGTATATTGTCTATCTTCCAACTTATTACGTGAAACAGTTTTACCAAATGCTTTGCCACCACATAATGTGGGTCGCCATATTTCCACCTCTGCCATGAGTTTCATGCCACTTGTGTCCTGACCACTAAATCAAAGATACTTATTTCAAGTTTTTCTTACGGCAGCACTCTTTCTAGTATCTATTTCTCTATTAGGAGAAATAACACTAGCAGGTTAAATAACTAACTTCAACACCTCAGTGGCTTAACACTGTAAAAGTTTTTTATTTAATTATTCATTATCCAATGAGATTAGAGCAGGACTCTGCTTCATAATATCATTCAGAGACTAAAGCTCTTTCCTTTTTTTTTTTTTTTTTGCTGAGGAAGATTTGCCTTCAGCTAACATCTATTGCCAATCTTCCTCTTTTTGTATGTGAGCCACCACCACAGCATGGCTACTGACAGATGAGTCGTGTAGGTCCATGCCCGGGAACCAAATCCAGGCCACCAATATGGAGCGTGCCGAACTTAACCACTAAGCCACCAGGGCTGGCCCACTCTTTCCATTTATTGATGCCACCATTCAACTCATGGCTTCTGGGTTTACCATGAGGAGAGAAAGAATAGAGAGTTGCACACAGAATATTTTTATAGACCAGGCATATGTCACTTATGCTCCATTCCACTGGCCAAAATTCAGTTACAGAGACAAGTCTAATGGAAGGAGGCTAGCAAATGCAGTTTATCTGTGTGCCCAGAAGGAAGATGAAACAGGTGCAATGAAAACACAGGATTTCCTTGAATTTGAAGTTAGACAACTGGTTCAATCTCAGTTCTACCACTTAGTAGTTCTGCTTCTCTCTGAAAGTGTTTCTTCATCTGTTAAATGATCACATTTATACCAAAAAATGGCTTTCTTATGGAGAATTCTAAACCCAGCCAAACTATTAATCAGATAAGGGTAAAATGAAGACTTTTTCAGAATTTTAAGATGTGATATCATTTTTCTTTTTCTTCCTTGAAATTAAGAGTGGGTATGTGACTAATTCTGGCCAATGGAATATGAGAAGTGAGGGTTGTCAGTTATGAACTGAGAGAGTGAAAATTCCCCTGCTCTCCAACCTCTCAGCTCCTTTGACTTCAGAATTCAATTATTGTGCCAATAAAAGATGGAAGTGTGTTCATCACCTTGGGTTCCTGAATACTTTTATAAATTAATATGAGGAACAGAGCACTGTGCCAACCCACACTGCACATGTACCATGAGCAAGAAACAACCATTTGCTGGGTTAAGCAACTGAGATTTGGGGGTTAATTTGTTTACAAAGCCTGGTGGTTCTCAACCTGAGTTGACATTGCTCCCCAGGGGACATTTAGCAATGTGTTAAAATATTTTTGGTTACTATAACTGAGGAGGTGTTCCTGGTATCTAGTGCACAGACCCCAGGGATGACACCAAACATTCTACAGTGCACAGGACAGCCTCCTACAACATAGAATTATCTGGCCCCAATGTCAATAGTGCTGAGGTTGAGAAACCATGATAGCCTATCCTGACTAATAAACAATATCTCAAAACTGTCTCTTGCAGTCCTTCTGGGGAAGCTATTGAAGAATGTGCTGCCATAAAGCAAAGAGGCAAATCAGAAAGTGGGATTAAGGAACGAAAGGAACCAAACCCAGAAGAGAGGGAGTTCTCAGGTGGAGGTGATGGAGTGATCCCAGCTGCAGCAGGCCTACACATCAGCTGGTTGAAATGGAACAGAGAATAAAGTGTTGTAGGAATGAGTCCCTCTGGAAAAAATGGTATGCTGCTTGATGAGTCTGAATGTATTAATAACAACTTTCAAGTTCTGTGCAAGGTTTGGGAATTAATTAGTGATAGATTCAGAGAAAATTAAGTAATTAAAATATAAGGCAATTATTTACTCCAAGCAGAGTTGTGTAAGATAGGGAACAATATGTGATAAGATAGATACATGGTACAATAAACAGAAAAACTGTGAATTCCATTTAAATTTCATAATAATAAAACAAAGATATCTATATGACCAAAAGGCACCATTTACCTGTATTGCCAGGCTAGGGAGAGTAGAAGTGTGTATATGAGAGTGTGGATGTGTGGGAGGACGGAGGAAGGAGTCAAAAAGTTAAATCCTCATCTTCTCTCTTAAGAAGTCAATGGACAATATTTAAAGAGGAAAAATCAAGAAATTGCAATGTAAGCATATTCCTTAGATATACGAGGGTAAATGCCAAAAGAGAGAGCTAAAAATAAGTTAAAACTAATTACTTCTGTACATGTGGAAATTGGAAAAAGTGAGTAATTTGGTGAGGACACTTGTGTTTCATTATAAGCTTAATAGTATCGCTTAACTTTTTAAACTGTGAACATATATTACTTTTGGCAAAAGCAACCTAGTTTTTACAAAAGTGAGGGGAAAATAAATCAATTTTCAGGCATTAAAATGATGTAATACATAGGAAAATCTTTCATAATATGTATATTGCTGTGTGAAGGCTAGTCATGGTGATCATTATGGCTGATGCTAAAGATGTTAATAATTGAGGCCAGGCCTCAGCACAGGCACTGTCATGTATTTCTCGTCAGTTGGTCACCTACAGCAATCAGCACACAGGGACCAAATGCCACCATTGTTTCCCAATTACTTATCAAGAAAGGAGAAGATGCCATTCATGTCAATCATCCAATAAAACTTAGTGTCTACCTTGTGGTAGGCATGAACCCTGCCTAAGTATGACTCTGAACACAAAGTATGACCTTGATTTAGGACAATTCCTGGCCAGGAGGGGTTCTTAGTTGGGCCTACTTCTTAAATTCCCCTTTATTGGGAGCTTGTTATAATTTAGATAAACAAAATATTACAAGATTCTTCTTCTACCACCCCAAGCCTCCCACCAACCCTCTTCAAAATCAGCATTAATGGCATCTTTTGTTTATTTGGTACTTGCTGAGGTTGAGAAACCACAACCCTTGGTATTTAGTACTCCTATTTGGTACTTTTTTCTTCCTTACGTTACAGTCAGCTCTGTTGGTGTCTTTCACTGTTCCCTTTAGGGTTGGAAATATAATTCATATTGCATCACAGCATAGCAGTTAAGAACACAGGCACTGGAGAGAGAATATGTGAGTTTGAATTCCAGCTCTGTTACTTTCTAAGGTTGTGTGACCTTGGGGAAGTTACTTAACCTCTCTGTGCCTCGTTTTCTTCATCTGTAAAATGGGGACATTAGCTTCATAAGCTTGATATAAGAATCAAAAGAGTGAATAAATGTAATACTAAGAATTGTTTCTGGCACATAGAAAAGCTATATAGATATCAACAAATATTATTGTGGCATATAGCAAAACTACATAATTATAAGCTATTGTTGTTATTGTTAACACTATTATCAATAGTGCTTGAGCAGCTCCAAGCGTATAACAGACACTGAAAAATGTTCATAAATGTGACTGAATTACAGAACACGTTCACAAAGATCTGAATCAGCCTCTACCCGCCCCCATTCCTGCCATATAAATCATGACAAAATGTAGTTAAAGAAATGCAATTGGTACACTTCCAAGGAAAAGATGGCTCCATTCTCTGTCACAATATTTCTCAACACAGCATTTGACAGATTTACCTCTGGAACTTTCTAAAACGATCCACCCTTCAGAATCTACACCACTCACCATATGGGACTGCCACACTGACCTTCTCTCAAAATTTCAAACAGGCCAAGCTGTGTGGGCCTCAGGGCCTTAGGGAGCTTCAGCTTTGAACGTGGCCCCACCAGGCCTACCTCTTCTGTGCCCCCCACACTTAGCCTGGCTAACTCCTGTCCACTTAAAAGCTTAAATATCTCCTCCTTAGAGATCTTAAACTCATCCACTTCTGTAATAAAATATACATATATATCTATATTAGTACGTGTGTGTTTGATGACCCGGTTGCACGTAAGCTCTCTGAGGATGGGAAGTGGTCTGCTTTCTTTCCACTCGACATGCAGTACCTAGTTAAATTCTGGGCACAAATTCAGAGTTTTAAAAAAAGAGACACTTCTTTCAAATGAGGAAATTATAGTCAGTTTCATAAAGGAGGTGATTTGTGGGCTAGATTTACAAACTTTTTAATGTCAGAATTTTTCTGGAATAACATGAGACTGAATAATATTTGAATATAATTAAACTGCTAGAGCTTTGCTTTTCAATTCATTTTGAATTACATGTTTCCATTAAAAGTGGAATAGAGATTACTGAAACCTAAAAATTTCACCCACATACTATGAAATATCCTAGAAAGCATATTGAAAAATATGTGTCTTATTTCTTGAGTAATGGTTTAAACAACGGCTAAAAAATGCAAATGGTTAAAAAAACACAAAAAATTTCCAAGAACAGCGGCAAGTCTGCACTATCTATGTTTCTAAAATGAAGATGACTTGAATCCAGTTTCATGTCTATAGAACATCATATTTAAAGTAAAATAATTGTTGTGCTGATCATAAATACCTATTTTCTCTAATAGCTCATGATGGTCAAACAATCAGGTGAAAACTGAAAAGTCTGGTCAACTATCATTTAGACAGATGCTTGTTTATTTCTAATAGTGCCAAAAATTGCAAGGTTTCAAGATAGCCTAATATTTGACATTCAGGTTTATGACTTTTCCCACCCCCAAAACACACACACAGAGTCACAGACTTTTAACTGGGAGTAACATATTCACTTGGGTGCTTTGGTGTCACCAAAGACACAGAACTTTTTTTTAATAATAAGTACATTACATGCAGTTGGCTATTCTGTCACTCATATTTTAAGACAGCTTTTTAAAAATGACACCTTGATTGTCTTGTATGCTCTCAAAAGAACACCTTGATTGTCTTGTATGCTCTCAAAAGAAGAGGATCATCTTTTAATGGTGTGAATTGAACACAAGTTAAGTATTTGACCAAAAACACTGTGGTTTGATTATTACATTTGCCTGTGTTCTGAGCACAAGGCCGGTGTGCTCTGCATTATACGATCTCATTTGCCTGAAGAGCAAGGGGACACCAGCCAGAGTAGTGGCAACTAAGGTGCAAACACAAAACTAAAAGGGAGGTGGCGGGCAGGACGTGAAAACCTACCCCGTGTACGAAACAGTCACGCTCAAGTCAGGTACGAGGACCCTGGGGAGAACATGAGAAACATCGTGTCTTTCACAAGCTGAAACTGTTAGAATCAGAGTCTTGTTTCATTGTCTACTAAATATGCACAGTAACATTCATTATTCAAGAAATATAAAAGGAAAAGGGTTTAAGCATTATAATTTAATACACTTATTTTATTATCACAGTAGATGTATTTACTATGGAAACTTTGTAAGATATGTAAAAATGTAATTAATAAATTAAAATCATCATCAAATATCACAAACCAAAGGGTACCTAATACACATTTTCCTGTATTTATGTTCATACATATATATATATTCACTTATTCAACAAATATTTATTGTGTGCCTACTATGCTCTAAGTGCTGTTCTAATTCTTAGGACATCCTCATAGAAGTTATATGCTAGTGGAGGTAGAGATGGTACAGGGTAGTGGGAAGAGGATGAGAAGACAAGCAATAAAAAATAACCATAATACATAAGCATGTCGTACACCATATTAGGTGATATTGTTAAATGATGAGGTGCTATGGAAAAAAATCTACAAAGTGAAACCTGCTACGGCCTATTAACATAGAGCCAAGGAGCAAAGGAAAATAACTTTGTGAGATTGGTGTCCAGTTTCTGTAGGAATCTTTATAAGAAGATCCTTCAAGTCCAAACTAAAGAAGAAAGCAGAATTTACACTCACTGTCAGGCCTATCCCAAACTTGTGTGCACCTAGGGTGAGAGTCACATGGAGAGCCCATAAGCCATCTGTCTCAATTTAAAAAGAGTAAATCGAGCCAAAAATACAGTTAAATAAAATATATCCTATTTTCCTACTTTGACAAATGTAAAACCTAGAAGGCCAGGTTTGAATTTAGAATTCATGGACTCCTTAAAGTTCTGTTCCAGACAGAGGAGAGAGTAGGCCAGGTCCTAATCCATGGCCTGCCTCCTTCTCATTCCACCCACTTTTGTCCTGTGCCATGAGGGACTTCATAAGCAAATGTATAAATGCCCAAGCCCTCACGTCTACTCTGTTCAAGCAACCACCCTGACCCCGCAAAGAGCCCCCTCTTGCCCAAGGCTCAGGTCTCTGGCTGTTCACATAGCTAACCCGGCCCATCTTGAGAGAGGAGACCCAGGCAGGCCCTGGAACACTAGAAGAGCTTGAGAAACATTCCTTGAGGTTAAAGGATCATAACAATTCTGAAAGGAGACTGAGTGAGAACTCTTCAGAAATCTGCTTTAAGGAAATCTGTGAGAGACCATAATGGGAGTAAAAGGTTTTTCCTTGACAACATTTCTGACACTAAATGTGGGGGGGGGGGGGGCTTTCACACCAACAACCAATTCTCCAACTCCCCAACACCAACTGGGCATTCAATAATTCAACTCTATTCGGATAGTAACTACATGGAGTTGTGTCAGGCTCCCCCTGGGTTAAGGGTTCTGTCCCACAAGACTGCCCTCACTTCAGATGCCAGCTACAAATGAGATGCCCAGGTATCCAAACATCTGCCCAGCCGACTACAAATTCAGGGGTTCCTACAACACACCTCAGGTTCTATAATTCACTAGAATGACTTATAAAACTCAGGAAAGTACTTTACTAACTGTTACATTTTTTATTATAAAAAATACAACTCATGAATAGTCAAATGGAAGAGATGCATAGGAGAAGGTATGGAGGACAGGACACAGAGCTTCCATGCCTTTCCAGCACCTCCATGTGTTCACCAACCTGGATGTTCTCTGAACCCTACCATTTAGGGGTTTTTGTGGAGGCTTCGTTAGTAGGCATAATTGATTGAATCATTGGCCATTGGTAATTGAACTCAATCTCCATCCCCTCTCCCTGTGGATGCAGGGGGTGGGGCTGGGGATACAGGGTAGAAGGGAGCTAAAAATTCCAACCCTGTCATCATGGCTTGGTCTATCTGATGACCAGCCCCCACTCTGAAGCTATCTAAGGGTCCCCAATCACTAGCCATCTCCTTAGCCTACAAAAGACACCCATCACTTTGGAGATTCCAAGGGTTTTAGGAGCTATGTGCCAGGAACTGGGAAAAAGACCAGATATTTACTTTTTATAGTCCACAGGAATATTCTCTGAGAAGCATAGTACAAGTTTTGAGAGAATGAGCCAATTCTAATCTCCCTCAAATGAAGAAAAGCCTGTGACAGATGGTAACCACCCAGCCACACAAGGTATGACCCTTCACTCCTGATCCCCTCTCTCTCTGGATGTACCTTGAAGGGTCAGGAGCCCAGCTACTGAGAAGGCAAGAATTTAACCAAAGATGGTGGGAGAAGCTAACTGCATTCCTCTTCCTCAATGAAGTTTCCAGATCTGAAGTAGTGCAAGCTGGTAGGAAGTGAGTAGCTCTACATGAGCTACCAGATCAGGGTTTTGATTATTACACTGATGACTGGGTATTTTAATTACTGAGATTAGATGGTTCTTAGAAATAAAGAGAATGAAAAAGCTATGGTACAAATCTAAGTTTTCATTCCGAGTAGGGGAAAGAAATAGCACATAGAGCAAACATAAAGGAACAGTGGGAGAAAGAATAAAATTATTTTGTTGGGATCCTATCACATTCATCTAAGTCAGTGAAAAGTTTATGTTACCGTTAGGTAGTTGAAGTTTGTTTCTTTACGTTGTTTCTGTATATCAAGCCACGTAGAGACCCAAGATTTATTTGTGCTATATTCTTTGTAGTACCTGATCGGTTCAGAAATTCTACTATATAATGTTTTTTTTTTAAAAAAGGAAAATTTGAGGAATAATGTTAGAACAATGCACTGTTTTAAAGTATCTTCTTTAATAGCACCCACAAAATTCTATCTGGGATGAATATTATCCTGAGAGCTTTCCTATAAGTGATTATCCTTGATTGTATACTTTATTGGCATAAAGAATATTCTTGGCATGAGTTCCACATAATGCTTCTCTTCAGTGACATAGTCATTAGGAAGTTTGACTGATTGTTCATAGCCTTGGGCCGTGGCCTATTTCTTGGAGTGATCAGTGAGTTGAGCAGCTTCCAAGAGTCAACTGTAGGAAAGATTCAACCCTTGGTGTCATTCAGGTTTGTCTCTTGCAGTTTACTTGATTGATCTTTCCCTCTTCCTATACCGGCAAGAGGCTTTCAAAAGAGGAAAATGTGAGCAGTTATAATAGGATTTTTGAAAAGAAGTTCCTTTTGGGTCTCCTACCTTCAGTTCTTGGGGAATCTTGTCAGCTCATGGGTGATCATCTTTTCTTTGCTGTTTGCAGCTACTTAGTCACTTTTCTCCTGATGAGTCACTCTTCAAAAATGGTGTCTCTCCATGATTGACTCGGACCATTGGCAGATAGGTCACCTTGCTTTCAAGTACCTGTTTTGTTTTGTTCTTTCTTAACAAAGTATTTCAGGAATTTGGGCTTTGAAGAAAATTAAAATTCATTGTATAGAGTGCATCTTCTTCCTCAGACAGCTCATCACTTAGTGACTCTATAGGCTCTTGGACAGATTTAATCAACCCTTCCATGAAGAGACTGCCTTTACCTTGGAGCTGACCTCTGAGGCCCAGCTCCCTCTGTTATTCCCTTTGTTCCATACACTGTCTCCTGGGTTCCTAATTGAGACCACCTCTATTTCCCCATATTGGTTGGGAATTTTCAAGAGATTATTATCCCTAATCAAATAATCAAGTAGTGTCTTTCTGATCTCCCTATATACTTTTCTGCTTATTCCTTTGCCTAAAAGAAGGTCCTTTTCATCCGCTTTGTTCTTTCTTACTCTTTGCCTCTTCCTCGTGTGTTCACAAATCCTCAAACTACAGAACATATGCCTTGCCTTAATTAATCAAAACATAGGGAGGACGTTTTCTGGGCACCAAGGTTTTAGCAAGAGAGACAGGAACATGTGTCATGCTTTAGGGCTTAGCATGGATCCACGTTAGGCTTTAAGTGGGATTAAAGTATATCTGGGCATCTTCAAGTGAACAAAACTAAAAACTCCATGGGGATAGGAATTTCATCTGTTTTGTTCTTCAGTTTATCCCCAAAATTTACTATAGTGCTTGGTACATAATATTCATCCAATAGCCATGTGTTAAATGAATAACTGCATGGATAAAAGATGGAAAGAAGAAAAGTAGATAAGAAGGAAATAAAATTCTATTTTTGGCTGAAGAAAAAGGGAAATGTTCAAGTTGACACCTAGGGAGAAGTCAGGATAGGAAGGCAGCATGGAGCACAGTATTAGAACCAGATATATGGACACATATCTAGCCCAGCACTATGGACGCATATCCAAGATGAACGAAGAGAGGAGCTTCAGGTAGGGCTGAAGAGCTATTCTTTTGGGGAACTTTGTGAGACATGAGGATACTTTGTGAAAGATGTGAAATGTTTTGGTTTATCTTTAAAGCCAAGATGGCAAAGTGGAGCAAAGAGATACCCTCCTCATTTCCATAAGACCATAGCATGTCTTCAGCGTGTGAATATCCTCAGAAACACAGCCCTGTATTAGTGCTTGGAAGGTTTGTGACTTTGGGGAGAACTTAAAAACATGCCCTTAGCTCTGGCATCATTTGAGTCTCGGTGGGGCCAGTGGAGAAGAAAAATAAGATGATTAAAAGCTTATATGAAACACCTCAAGGGACTCCCAGGAAAAACTGGGTGTGAATTTGAAAGGAGCTGGAATTCTGGTGTGCTGTGGAAAAGAATGAGTCAGTAAAGTCTGCTTTATTGCTATTAATGTGGCACAATTATTAACGTTAATGAAGTAATTAATTTCAGTAGTTGTTTTCTACTGAATATGTTTTCTACTGCTATGCCCAGCCACTGTGCTAGGGTCTGCAAATACAATGTTAGCAGGACATAGTCTCTGTCCTAAAGATCATCCAGCAGGGTCTATGTATAAGAAAAAGGCCATTACAACAAGGTATGATGTGCACGATGATCTGTGCTGGCTGCAGAGTATGGTGGTAGCCCTTAGAGAGGCACATGCTTGAGAGGCTTTCAGAAATGCAGAAAAAGTTTGAAAACAAGATTCAAAAGTCAAGAATTAGAATGAAGACCAAGCTTCTGGTCACTGAGCCCACGTCTGAAGTTTCCCATTTGAACATGAAAGAATCACACAGGCAGGAACAATTCCTTAAATGGCTATGTTGACCTAGACATTTATAAGACACCTCTCCTTCTTTACTAAAATCCTCTTCAAATTAAGTCCCCAATTGGAAGCTCACCTCCTGCAGTAGAGTGAATATAGCATTGACCTTCCTGCTTCCCAAAAGAGTTCATTTATTATATCACAATCTAGAATGGTAGGGAGCGAATTATTAAGCAAATACTAACTATAATTAACCTTGACCTGATGCAAATCTTTCTTTTTCTCTTTTTTACCCTTATAAACGTACTCTGTAGAGCTGGTTATCAAGGTCAAACAATTCAACACTCTTGAGCCAAAACATGGCTATGATTAAAACAGAAACCTCTCACCCTGGCAGTGCTGAAATCAGGGCAAAACCATTGCAAACACAGTCCTCTCAGTATCGGAGAGCACATTCATTATTCTTGTTGAGCACGTGACATCTGTCAAACAGGATGAGTTAAATATTTCTACAAGTCACTCATCAAATAATGAGATTGTTAAGATATCCAGGCAATGCACGAAAGGAGAATGTTTCCCTTTTAATAATTGATTTGTTCAGTCATGAATACCCAGAGCAGTAGCAGAAAAAACAGTGAGCACTCTGGTGCAGAAAATTAATTAAAATAAGTCTAATACTGTAAGCGTTTGGAGACACATCAACGGATGGGGTCTCACATAATTTGCACATAGTGTCATTATTTCAGGGTAAGCAATTACTGTAAAATAATGACATTAGTGAAATATGAGAAATGTAGGCACTCTGTGAGATTCATAAAGGAACTACACCAAACCATTTATTTTACCATTTAATAATCCACAGGCTGCTGCTGATTTACTAATAAGTATAGCTAATTAAGATTCAGAAACAATAGACTCAAGATCAAAGAAGCTACCTAAATTCACCAAATTCAAGGTTATCCATTCTTTCATTTCAATAATGCTTTAAAGTAAACAGGAACCCATATGCCTACAGTCATCAAAATGTGTAATGAATATCCAATAAAAATACTTCCTATTAGGCCAGAGATTGGCACTAAATAAAATAGAGTTGAAGGAAACTTAACCTACTTTATTTATCAACAAGCACTTCCAAACATCTTGATTCATTCATGTCCAATACACTACATACTGAGTCCTTACTATGTACCATGCATTCTCCTAAGCACCATGGATACAGAAATATAAAAAAATGACATGATATCCCTCTTCCTCAAAGAGTTGACTATACTTCATGGGGGAGAGATGAGTATACAATAACAAAAATACCAAGGGATTAGTGTCATGACAAGGGGAGGCAAAAGAACAGAGGCTAGGAGGAATTAGGTAAGGCTTCACAGAGGAGGTGGTCATTAAACTTGACCTTGGCAGACAGAGAATCTGAGGAAGGACATTCCAGGAATAGAGGACCCTGAGCAAAGATACTGAGCAGAAATTTGTGAGTGACTTGTCCACTTCTCCTAGGGAAAAAGAATAGCATGATGGTGAAGAACAGAAGAGCTCAGGAGACAGACAATCCAGGTTTCAATCCCAGCCTTGTCACTTACTATCTGTGCAACCTTGGGGACCTCACCTCATCGCTCTGTGCTTCAGTTTCCTGTAAAATGGGGAAGTAGTAGTAAACTGGGGACAGAGTTGTTCTGAGGCTTGAGGGAGTGGATGTATGTAAACCACTTCCAGCAGTGCTGGGTACTTGGTAAGTGCTGTAGAAGGGCTAGCTCTCACTGTCCATCATCAGGAGTAGAATAATTTCTTTCTCTCAGTCTCTCCTGCCAATTTCCTAATTTCTTAGATGTGTATAGGAATCTAAGTTTAGGGAAAGTCAGAGTGTATTTATTGCAAGCTGAGTGGTCTTAGCCAAATGATTTGAAGAACCACAAGGGGAATAAAGTGATTGGGACAGGTAGGCGATACCATGACTTAGAAGAGGATGGTATCTCATGTGAAGTCTGTAGATCAAGAAAAATGTGGTGATCCTAGCAAATCCAATTATTATTTTTTGTAAACTATCTACAGAGACTGTCTTACGTATGTTGAAACAGAGTCTAGAACATGTAAGTGGTTATGACTGGAAAGGCTTTCTTCCCTTAGCCAAGTGGGACACATTTTTTCCCAGTGTTTTCCAGGATTGGGTGAAGGGGCATCTCAAGTCCCCAAAGCTGAGATGTAAACGTGATCAAATCCAACCCCCCACTACTGTTACTGAGGGTTCATTACTGGCTTTGGTGATCAGCATAGTCCCCGATTTCTATGACATAATTAGGACGACAGTTTCTCCTCCCAGAGCCAGCTTTCAGGGAACATATTGTGTTTCAACAGCTCTGATCCCTCTAGGGAGATGAGAGCACACGCCAAATGCGACGCTGACCTCAATCTAGTGCAGTGGTTGCTCTGCGCAGGTTCCTTGAGCAGGCCTCAGCCTCAATGTGCATATCTAGGGTTTGCTTACTCAGACATCCGTTTCTGTTCCATTCAGCTACTCACAGACCACCTGACCAAGCAAAGTCACAAGAACCAGCCAACCTCTTGTGTCCTGGAAGGATATATTATTCTTGACCTACTCTCTAAAATAGGCTATTGAGTTCCTTAATTTAAAATCAGATTCAGAGTTGCAATATCAAATATCTGCAGAAGCCCAACAAGCAACATAAATATATAAAAGGGTGAGTATTAAACCATAGGTGTTAATCCACCTGTGTGGCAACCACATATCTGCCAAATTGTGTTTCAAAATGCGGTGCAGATCAAACAAAGTTGTCACACAAAGAAATACATCTGGCTCTCAGGCTACCTATTTTCAATTCTTATAAAATTTCCTACCTTGACTTTGTTTTCCTTTTCTCCATATATTTATTCAAAGATCTCTTGCTTGATCCTCCTCCTGAACCTCCACCTCCCTCCCCTAAAGTGACTAGAGAAGCCAATCGTGTGCCTTTGGAAGGAGTGAGAAGATGTGACACTGAGCCCATGGAGAAACAGAGAAGAAGCTGTAGGAAGGAAAGACTTGAGCTGGGATTTGGAAGGGCCCCAACCAGCTGTGTACCTTGAGCAAGTCACTTGATTTCATCTCATCCTCCATTTCCTCATCTGTAAAATGGGAATAGTATCATGTGAACTGACTGTCACAAAAAATTTTTTGAAGATGTTCAACATCACTAATTATTAGGGAAATGCAAATTAAAACTACAATGAGATATCACCTCACACTTGTCAGAATGGCTATAATTAATAAGACAAGAAATATCAAGTGTTGGAGAGGATGTGGAGAAAAGGGAACCCTCACACACTGCTGGTGGGAATGCAAACTGGTTCAGCCACTATGAAAAGCAGTATAGAGATTTCTCGAAATATTAAAAATAAAAATACCACATGATCCAGCTATGGCATTACTGGGTATTTATCCAAAGAACATGAAATCAATAATTCAAAAAAGATATATGCACTGCTATGTTCATCGCAGCATTATTCACAATAGGCAAGACATGGAAGCAACCCAAGTGCCCATCAATGGATGAATGGACAAAGATGTGGTTTATATGTATACAATGGAATACTACTCAGCTATAAAAAGAGATAAAATTGTGCCATTTTCAACAACATGGATTGACCTTGAAGGTATTATGGTAAGCGAAATAAGTTAAACAGATGTAGACAAATACTGTATGATTTCACTCATATGTGGAAGATAGACAAACAAACACGTAGATAAGGAGAACAGATTGGTGCTTACCAGAGAGGAAGAGGGTGGGGGGAGGGCGGAGAGGATGGAGGGACACATATGTATGATGACAGATAAAAACTAGACTACTGGTGGTGAACATGATGCAGTCTATACAGAAACTGAAATGTGATAATGTACTTCTGAAATGTAGACAATGTTACAATCCAATATGACCTCAATAAAATAATTTAAAAGAAAAAAATAAATAAAAATTTTTTCAGGGGTAATAGAAAGTAATGGGCATATTTTGATTATCATTATGACGCCCGGTAAGAGAGAGAGAGGGGAAGAGGCTCTATTTGCTGCATAAAAAAACACAACTTCAGCTGTAAAACTGAGGCAGGTTTAAAGCAATCCTTTTGCACCCAGAGGACCTGATGAATTACCCTTACATCTCCTCTCATTCGACCAGCAATGCTCCAGTTTCACAAACTCCAGATTAATAACAACCGTGTAATCTACTCAAATTCACCCATCCTTTAACAAAATCCCAGCAGGGAGGAAAGTAATTTCTTTTTTATTCCACACATACATACTTCTCCAAGAATATTACCAGTTGTTTTTGCATCAGTGTTGGGAAATTAAAAAAAAAAAATGTGTTTAGTTAACAACTATCTCCTTGGCTTTTCCAAACACATTGCTTTTCAGACACTTTATTTATAGATCTTCTTTTGGTTTTCTTTCACCCACTGTGGAATCCTACATTTATTCATACTGAATATATTCTTAGCAGATGTTGCCCACTATCGGGATCTACATATAAGAATTTAAGCAAAGTTGAAGAGAATACATTTAACAGTATTTTTAAGCAGCTATATCTTTCTTATCTTCTAATGCAGTCAAATAAACACAGAAATCACATATGTAACTATAGGATGCTAGTATTTAAGGTCAAATGATAGCATTAAAAATCTCTATTATCAATATGGGCCCATAATAAGATACTGAAATTGGGCCATAATATATTCCAACTCTAGAGATATATATCAATCTTGTCAATCTCCTGCAGTAAGAAAAGCTAATTTCCAGGTATCATGCCTTAGAGTCATAAAGATGGGTGACACCTCAAACAATCATTCTGCTTTCAGATGTGACTATGCCTGAGCCATCAAGGTACATTGATCTAATCATCTCAGAGATAGTTAGTAACCAGTGGGGCCTCCTATGAGCCAGAGATTCTGTTAGACACTCCCACATAAATGATGGTGAAATATTAATGGCCCCAGGTTTTTACATTTTTCTGTATCCATGCCTTTTGGTAATTGACTTCCACACTGACTGGCGTGGCCATCTAACTTGATGTAGGCAATGGGATGTTGACAAATGATGCATGTAGTATCTTGAAAAAGTGCTTGTGTATTTCTGTTCCTCTCTTGCACCCTTGCCTCCTCCTTGAGAAGGAGTATGTGCTAGCCTGCTGGAGATCACATGGACCAGAACTGAATCATCCCAGTACAGACCCTCTTAGGCTAGTCAGCCCCCAGTAAACCAGTGGGCTACCTGCAACCACATAAGCAAAAGCCAACCAATATGAGCCAGGCCTGAGCCAGACCTATAGGCTGTGAGAAATAACAAATTACTGTTTTAAGTCACTATGAGTTTTTTTTGGTGAGGGGGAGGGAGAGAAGAGGTGATTGTGTATCATAGCTTCTCTTACAGTAAACCTATTCGATTTCTTAAGGATAATATAAGAATGATGTAATCTTCATTAGCAGAATATTTTAATACTTGAATTTCTGTACTGGTAAGGAGTTATTTCTAATCAAAACCTTGATCTTTAATTTGAGTGCCTTCTTCTTCTATCCTCAGTGAGATATGGATCAGCATTTGCCTTACAGAAGTCCTTCAGCAGCTAAAGACATGATTTAGAAATATCAGCAAGAGTGCTCGAATTGTGAGCTATACTTGGAATTTCTCCTCATTGGAATAGATCATTGTTAACTATCTAGCCTTCTTTTATATTTTACTTTTTTTTAAGTTCCTTTCCAAACTCTTCATTTTCTTTTTGGGTTTTTTTGTTTTTGTAGCTCTCTACTAAAAGTCATTTCATTTCTCCCCACTTAGTCTTCATTAAAACAAAATAAAAGACAAAGAAACATTTAACAAGATGCCTAATGGCTCACAACATTATCTTAGATTTGGTCTATCCTGTTCAAAACTTTATAATCCATTCATTGTAAATAAAGGCTCAGAAGATTTACTCACCAAACGTACAAAGTTAAGAATAGTGGTGCCTATATTGGGTACAGACTCAGGATTCAAAAAAATTTCAACATGACAGAAGGAACAAAATTTTTTAAAAATATGTATTTGATTTTTCCTTTATGTCAAGTGAAAAAAGTTATCAATTTGACAGACAAGAGAAAGAGCTTATAACTTGCTGTTCTTTTTCTTGCTTGGTAGGTAAAATTAAATCATCATTCAGAAATACTACGTCACAGTTTGCACTTTTATAAGTGGTATATGAATGTTTTCTTCTCTACCTCTCAAAAACCAAATATTCCTGAGTATTTAAATTTAAATCTATCTATTTATAATACCTATTGGCTGTATTGTATATTTTATACTCCTTGATGCAATAAGTCCTTATACCAAGGAAATAATTATGGATGTCCCATAAATTTAGCTACAACACCATTTGATGCAATACTAAATTCACAATAAATTGTAAATAATATTCATTTCTAATAATTGATGATTGATAATTGTGTTAAATTATGATATACCTGCATAGTAAAATATTGTGTGGTCTTATTTAGTAAGAATATTTGCTGACAAGGGAAAATATGGAGAAAAATAATTCATGTTAAAATATGTAAATTACGATTTCATTTTAATAAAAAATATATGAATGAAAAGTCTAGAAAATTGTATATTGAAATGCTGTGTAGACAAAAGGGAATTTGAGTAGTTTTTTTTTAACTTATCTATGTTGTCTAAATATTTGCAATAAATATGAGCTATTTTTTAATTAGAAAAACAGATTACTTGCCAAGTGAAGAATGGCCAAAGACTTAATCTAGCAGCATTTCATGAGAAAACGTTCTAGAAATTGTATTGAATGCACATGCAATTTTCATTTAGTCAACAAATATTTATTGAGTGCCTTCTATAGTCCATGTGCCAGAGGGGTGCAGCAGAGAACCAAACAGTCTGTTGCCTCATGGAAGATACATTTTGTGGAGACAGACAATACATACATGAAATAATTATATATCAGGTGATAATAGTTCCATGAAAAAAATAATAAAGCCATGTAAGGGGAAAGAGAGTGAAGGGGGAACACTGCTTCAGTGGGGGTGGCTCAGGAGGTGACATTTGAACAGAATGAAGTGAGGAGAGAGCCACGTGAATATCTGAAGAAAGAGCTCTCCTCACAGAGAGAATAGGAAGTGCAAAGGTCCTGAGATCAGAACATTCCTTACAAGAAATCATCAATGTGGCTATTGGATAAAAACAAAGGATATTTTAGATTTCAGTAATAAAACAGTAACATACACAGAAAGATACACACAAGATTCCCAGCATTTATAGTAACAGCCTTATAAGTTTTACTGGTCAGATTTTCTTTAGAATACTATGCTAAATTCAGTTCTTGGTACCACATTTTAACGGGAAACATTGACGAATTAGAGCAAGTCAAGAAGAAAGTGTTCGGGATAATGAGGGAGTCTGGAAATGGTGTCACTTGAAGAACAGCAGGAAATCTAGTTGCTTAATTGAGGAAAAAGCAGACCTGATACAGACAGGAGAGGGCTATCATTTAGTCATGATGAACTTACTCTGGCTTCAACAAGCAAAATCAGAATGAAAATTATAAGCAGACCTTAGCCAAGTATAAGAAAGCAGATCCTAATAATCACAGCTTTTCTAAAAATGAATATTAGTAGTGAGTCCTAGTCCTGGAGATAGTCAGGAGTTGAGCACTACTTGTAATGAGACTCTGTGAGGTTAGGACTCCCCATTAATATCACCTATTGACCCAGATTCTCTCTCTACTTTGCAGATGACACAGCAGTAAGCCTAGATGATGAAGGCTTACCAGAGTATATGGCATCAATCCTAATGGGTACCATTTGGTGGGTACCATTATGGAATCTTTTACTTGATTCATGGAAAAGTACTGTTGAAATACCACAGGCCACTCTGGAGAAAACACCTAAACCTGTAGAATCCTAGAACCTCGAGCTGGAACAGGCCTGAGACATCCTGTAATCAAGGGCCTTTCATGGCTAGAGGGGGAAGGTGGAAGTGGCAACTGCCCTCTCAGTGTGAAGATAGAGGCATCTGGCTTCTAATTCGGCAGCAGATTGCATTATTTAACAAATGCTTAAGAGAGCAAATGATGGTTCTATTTTGATAGGTGTTAATCAAAGCTATTGTCACAGAGGCAGAGTCTTTTGCTACAATCTGTTCTTTGATAAATGTGCAAAATACTTCACGGGGACCTTTCTTCTAGTAATCACATTGCCTGGAATATGAGGTGCGAATAAAAGGTACCAAGAGAATGGTTTTTAAAAATATTTTAACAAAAACATCACACCTACACACTCCAATAAGAACTGTTACTTTACTGTTATTTTCCAAGTAATGTGGAGGCACAAGATTCTCCGTTTGGTCTTTGCGAAATTATGTTCCATCACTATATCCTCATCACCTTGCACAGGGCCTGAAATAAAGTAGGTCCCCCATAAGTGACCACTGAATGAAAAACATGAGTGAGAAAATTACTGTACTTAACCGACCATACATCATTCCAGTGACAGTGAGGTCACTCAGAACATTTTGGAACTCTATTTTAGAATTTAACTCCAATATTTTTGTTTTAACTTTCTTTAGTGGTTAGGAATTTTTATTCTTGAATGTGCTATTTGCAAATAGCCAAATGGATGGTCGAGTTGCTAACAGTGATTTAAAATTTAAAAAGGAATGAATTTAAAATAATGAGAATGTGATTCCTTAGTGC